TACTTGCACTGTCAGAGGGTGGTCCTGGTTGTTGTTGCCCGTCGGGTACCACACCATCAAGCACGGGTGACCACCAAGGGACCACCGACCATTACTTGATGGATTGTTATTGCTAGAGGGTAGCCATCCCGTCCAATTGCAGGGTTGCAACTGTTACTGGCCTCACGCTAATCGTGTCAAGTTGCACTGACTCTTTGTCTGTCTCCGGGAGCCAATGAGATAGAATATGCAAAAATCTGACTCTTTGTCCGTTGTCGGGAGCCAGTGTAACAAAGATATGTAGAAATGTGTAGCCTTTTGTCCATTGTTGGCGACTAAATGAGATAGCAAATCTGGTCCTTTGTCCATTGTTAAGAGCTATGTAGATATAACAAGATCAACCCATTGTCCATTGATAGGAACCAGTGATAGAGATGTGTAGAAATAGATGCTTGGCTTGCTATCCATCACGGGGAGCTATGCAGATCAGATTGTTGTCCTTCGACAAGAGCCATGTAGTAAAATAGGCTCTTCATCTATTGTTGAGAGCCATAGGAAATAGCAGTGAATATCGTTGTAGAGGATATGACCATCAAGAAATGCCCACCCATGTCGCCAGAATAGATCTAGCCATGTCTGGCCATGTATGTGAAAATAGATGTTGGAGGAGGTTACATTCTGCGATGTCTCCAGCAAAGTGCATCAGTGTTGTTTCTACCGATGTTGATTTTGTTGCAGCAATTAGTAGAAGATAGGAACTGCACGTCTGATATGGGAAATGAGCATTGTGGGCCTTTTGCTAAAGTGGATCCACACAGTCATTGGTTTTGCAATCATACAAATTCATCCCTCAACAAATATTATGTTGGCTCAATGCACTCCAAGAGGGGGGTGAATTGAAGTTTCAAAAATTTCTTTCTCTTTGCAATCATAAGGCAAAAAACCAAAGATAATAAAGAAAAGGAACTTACATAAAAATTTTATAGAGATTTGGTCCAACCACTTGATACTTTGTCTTCTACCTTAGCTTCACTCACTAAGGATTTTCTCCATATTCTCCACTAATAAGAACAAGGATGGCTTAAAGGAGCCACTCAGCCCTTTACAAGAAGATGGGTTTTCTCACAAATCTCACCTCTTTATAAGACAAACCCAACAATTCTCAATACAAATCACTCTTAAAAGAATAATCACACCTCCAAGATAGCTCTCAAAGTAAACAAATATAGGATTATAAGTAAAGATCACTCAATGATCAAAATCTCAAGTTAAAGAAGATCACTCAATGATCAAAATCTCAAGTTAAAGAACAAGAATCACAAATTTATAAATGAAAGATATACAATGAAAATGTCTAAAACTTGTTTTTAGACTTCTACCAATTATATTTATATCTCATTGGTTGAAAATAGCCATTTCTAGTTGTTAGGATTCATTTAACGTCCTATAGATTAGTTTAAATTTGAGAAAACATGTTGTAGACTTTTCCAAAAGAGTCAGCTATACCTTGAGAGTTAGCTATTCTACTTCCTCTGCACATTTTGTTTTTCCATAGAGTTGACTGCAAAACCCAAAATCACCTAGGAAATTTTAGTTCAAAAGGTTAAAAAATCTTTGAAAAATTTGACCATTAAACATTAAATGTGCCATCATACTCAACTATAGAGTCATAGTTGGCTTTACATTCATGTTCCACACTCGCCAAACTATATGTTCGAACTTTTCACTTGTAAAGTTGGCTACAACTTTCATAGCTAGGTTTTTGCATTTTTCTTCAATAGAGGCAGCTGTAGAATTGTAAAGCCAGCTCTTTGCACTTCATTACATTTTCTACATTTCTCCAAAAGCTGATTGCATAAAATCATAGCTAGATTTTTGCACTAATTTCAGCATTTTGATTCTCTTTTAGTACAGTCCAAGTTTATTCACTTTTGTTAGCTTTTAGGTCATAAACTACATACTTAGATAAATAAATTAGTAATTCAAGTGCATTTTGTAATAATTAAAATCATAAGTGCAACATATTAATTGCATAAATAAAAATTATATATAACCAATATAATGACTTATATAAGTTATATTTAATATAACTGGATTTAGAGTTTTATATATATATATATATTTGTTCTTATTTAGAAAAAATTAGTGTTTTTATAAGAATTAGTTACAAATGATCTCTTTATCTAAGTCATAAATATTTTCTTTATTTTTGAATGGTCCCTTGCCGGGTCCGTCCCCAACCATGGCCATTTTGCATCAATCCTATGCTCATGGCGGAGAAGGAATATGGAACAAGGGCCGCATATAAATCTTGCTTTTTGGTTTCCACATATAGTTCTTTCCCTTTCCATCAAGGAATTAATTCTAGTGACTTGAGGTAAGCTTCACTTCAATATAGATGCCATGTTAATCTGTTATTGTCATAACTCAAATATTTGTCAAAAAGAAAATATATTTTAATTACATAAAGAATAAATTAAATTTTATCTTAAAATTATTTTAATTTGCCTTTCTATGTTTTAGGACTCGATCATGAAAATGAATGAAGTTTGGGTTGAAATTTTGAAGGAAAATGGCAAAATCAAACTTATGTGAAGAAATTTGCAAAACAAGGACTCAAATAGGGGAGAGCATTGAGTACGAGTATATTTGTTATTTCTATGTACTTTATTTATTGGGT